TAATATCAGATTTTGTAAACTCGTTCTTACAGGTCTTCATTCATTTCTCTCATATATTGAATAATTCGATCATTGTCGCATCATTCTTTCATTAATTGTGCTTAAAGCCAAATATTTTGATCAAAGAGAGGGGTAGTTGTTGTGAGCTAAAAGAATTGACGAGAGTTGTGTCAGGATTAAAAGAATACGAAAATCCTGTTACAAACTACTAAAATCTGGGCATATCACACAATCTATTAGTTCTCAATTCTTTCGAGACTAATATTGAAAAATGCAAAGTCCAGGCCTATAATATCCGTGTTTTCGTTAACTCGTACAAATTGGGTTAAGAGAATTTTGGTAGAATTATGCATGATATATTTGTACCCTATGCTTAACCAATTTGTACCCTAGATTAGCTTTGCGTCAAAATGTGTTTATACCTATATTAACGTAAAGTTGGGAATTTAACTTGAAGGGTAAAAACCGTCAAATAGTTAAACTATATATATATATATATTATATATATATTATATATACTAGTTGTCTACCCGCGCAATGCGGCGGGATGTAAAAAGTTCATTAAGGGTGCGTTTGGTATGCAGATTACATGGGACAAGACAGCAACCAAAACTACAAATCAATAGGTAAAAGGTGCAAATCAAAACAACAAATCAATCGGTGCAAATCAATCGGCAACCAAATGCAATTATAAAGTTACAGTCAACTTCAACCATTGGCAATTTTTCACATCTTATTCATATTACACAACCAATTTGATCCAATTGCAACATGACCCTTAAATAAATATCAAAGGTAAATGTTGAAAACTAACTGAAGGAAAAGACCGAAAAAAAAAACTTATATAAACAGATAAACCCTCACCACCAAAAATGAGAAAGAAAACATGACCTAATAACACAACCTGAAAAAAAAAATTCCACTCATCAAACCACTCGCAAATCCAACTCTATTGCTATGTCGCTCGTTTGTAAGCTTACCTTTTAATCCCGCCGCCAGCCCACGCTTGTTTGTATCATTGCCTTCTTCTAATATAAACCATTTTACAGTTTGTTGACAATGGGCTTGTATTTGATGATATTCTGTTCAAAGTTTTTTACAGCAAACCAGCGAGCATAGCCCCCGGGTCTGATGCTGCAATGGCTAGAGTAGTTGGCTGAGCCACAGGTGCAGGAGGTTTTGCAGCTGTAGGAATGCTAACTAATTGTTCCTTGATGAATTCCTTCAACCTGTTTACACATGTAGTTACATTATGTCTCCATGTGTACACACTTGTCCTTTGGTTAAAATGACCTTATGGCAGGGGTTTTTTCAAATCCACACCCTTCTGACAGGCTTTGAGAATACCATTGCTCATTATGTAGACAAAAAGGACAGGTATATTTAAGTAAACGAGTGAGGTTCAGGGAAACTCCCAAAAAAATGAAAAATTGAGTAACACCTTGGTAAGCATTCATCTGAACGGTATGCACATGTGCATACAAGTAATTGGAGATGTTTTTTGAACCCTATGCACGTGTGCATGTAACTTTAAATGAGATTTTAATTAAATCCATGACCTTTTAATGAGCATGAGGCCGTTTTTATCTTTAACAGGCCAGGAGGTCATGAATTTAATTGAAATCTCAATTAAGGTTATATACTTGAATGATCCCTTATAGATAAGAACGCCTATAAACTTGTCAGAAAGTTATGGATTTAAAAACACTTGTCGGGAGTTCATTAGCTAAATAACCCTTATTTTTTATCGTATTGAAATGAAATCCAAAACAGAAAACATACTCAAACGTGAGTGTGGCATCTCCTGATGCCACTGTCATGCGGAGCTGTGTTCTGCCAGCTGGATCGGTTTCAATTCTTACCTGCAAAAGAGAAGAGTAGCAGAGTTAAAAGCCAATATTTGATTACAACAAAAATCTTTACTTTGTCAAAAGGTTATAACAGATGGTGATGCCTAGAGCAACAACTATGATGTCGAGAAAGAAAAGTGAGGCAATTGAACCGATGATCTCCGTGGGACCAGACACCACCAAGCTTTATGCTTGACAATTATATAATAACAAATACTCCTTTTTTTCTGTTGCCTATATTGACTATATTGTCAAAGAAACTACTTACTAATTTAAGATTCATATGAATAAAACAAGTGCTACATACCAAAAAATTGTTGTTAAAATTGTAGAAGAACAAAAAAGAACAATAACTTTGTTAAATACAAGTTAAATACAAGTTTGACAAACCCAAGTTCCCAATTCTGGCAACTATACATTTTTGTCCTTCACCAATACAGGTTCCCCAAGCAGCAAATAGTTTCAGTCAGGCATCATCCCTTGAGGAAAGACACTTGAACCAAATTCTGTACATTGCACTATAGTAATGTAGTAAAAGTTGGTCCATCCACACAGATAAACAAATTTATATGATCAGAATTGTCCAACCACCTTCGCAATTCTTATGGCAAACAGAGGCCACAAGATACTTGATTTAACATAGTTTGTAAACATGGTACTCCCTCCATTAGCGGCATGCCAGGATGATCAAGATATGAGGTTGCTACTTGCAACTACAATCGAAAAATATTATCCTGAACAACATAAGAAACCAGATAATTTTGAAAATCCATCTTAGAAATTTGTTTCGAGAACCCCCTCTCCCAGCCCAATGGAAAGAGAAGTTCATTACCATATACTGTGTCAGCAAATCGGGAGCTTGCCTTTCATTCTAGGGCATGTCTCGGACGTTTAGAACACCTTGCTTATTATGCTCGTAGCAAGATTCAGGATACTCCGATAATATTTGCAATATATCTTGGATAAGCGAATCAAATATACAGATTACTGACATTAGCTGTATGGAGAGAACGGCCTATAATCCGGCCTCATCATGAGTTGTTCACTTAGTTGAAGGGCGCCTAATTGGATGGATCAGGATGTCCAATCTCCCAATTTAAAGTATTGGAAGATTAGAAGGTCCCGAAATGAAGAACCATAGACACAAAAGGTTGAATGCAAAATAATTCTTTTTTTCTTTAAACGCAAAAGCAGTCAAAAAACAAAAAATATCTTTCAAAGTACTGCACTTGACGAAATCTGATACTGTTGTGCATCCTTTTTATCTTATGTTGATCAGAATTAGTAGCAATTATGCATTATAGAACATTGTTCTTCCTAATATGCAAATTACAATTAGCAAGGAATGGCACGTGAAGCATTAGCGATTATCTCTTTTCTAATTAAAGAGAAACAAAAACCCGACAAAAAGAAGAAAAACTTCTCACACTATGCCATATATAGATTGCAGCTAATTTTGAATAACCATAGGTCGTTTCGTAACAAATGAAATTTCTCAAAAGTAAATAAGTAAAAGGCAGAACATACCACCCTGTTGTAAGAAATCCTTCAACTCCTACTGGGCAGCGAGCATGGATCCTGCTGGTACTTATACCAACCTGTTGTGCGATTAAACAATCATTGTGTATGATCGATCAGTGAGGACAATGCATCAACTGCCAGCCAGCCAGACAACAAAAGATCAACGTTGTTAATACAGTGGCCAATACAGAATATTAGACAGGTCCCATAACTGTATAACAACCACATCAGCAGCTAAACTTAGAACCAAGATGTAAAGGATGAATGATGTAGATAGTTGGTAGTTACACATATGCTATTACTGGTCTTATTGGGAATTATTTTTGGAATTTTACAGCTCCTGTGGTTGTATACTTAAGGCAGTCCTATATCATAAGCTTCTTCTGTCTCAGAAATTTGTGTACAAATTCTATGGTAACATGAGATAGTTGTAGCATTCTATAACACGGTGAACTGATTATCGTACAAGAAATGCAGATCGAGAAAAGAATAGAGAAACTCAAAAAGAGCAAAGCTAATAATTCACAAACCAAAGTAAAGGTAAAGCTTGTTTAACTGCTCCACATTGAATAATAATTATTCTTTCAACATGTTGTACTGAAAGCTATTGAACTTGGATATTGTTTGCAATATTTTGAATTTCAGGAAGAGGCAGAAAAGTCAGCCCTGGAAAGAATACAACAAGCACTAATGGATGGAAAACCCGCACGATCAGTGCCTTTAACAGAGTTTGAAAAGGAGTCTATGCATCATCTCTGCTTACTTACGATGAAGCCTGTGGTTTATGTGGCAAATGTTGCAGAGTCTGATTTAGCTAAACCTGAAAGTAATCCTCATGTTGAAAACGTGATGAAACTTGCTTCTGAGTTACAGTCTGGGTTAGTAGCTATCTCGGCACCTGTATTGAGAGTAGCAACACAAATTACTTTAGGAGTTAATGTGCATATTATCATCACACCTGTCATGTTTTTGGCTATGATTAAAACTGAGGATGCTAAATGTGTTGCTAGTTGTATACTAACAAACAACCTTTTTAGTAATTTTTTACTGAAACCATATATTGTTTGTTCTTGATATAAATTCTTTTTTAAAAGTTGAACAAAGTTTTAGAGCAAGTGGATGCAACTAACAGGGTGTTAATTGCAGGTGGAGCCAGAGCTAATCGAACTCCCCTCAGAAGAAAAAACAGAATTTTTGACTTCTCTTGGTGTAGATGAGAGTGGCCTTGGAAACCTTATCAGGGCAACATATAACCTTCTTGGCTTACGTACATACTTCACTTCTGGAGATAAGGTCTGGAGAATAAATGTTTTGTATAAACAAGCGATTTGTGTACATTATAGATATTAAAGCAAACCGAAATGTGATACCTAAATTCAAAAGAAAAGAAAAAAGGCAAACACACCAGTGGAGGAGAACTGTAAATTAAAATTGGAAGTTTTCAAAGCAAAACCAAAAACCTAAACTAAAATTCAAATTAAACCTTACCTGGATGTCTTGAAGGCGGAGAAATTGGAAATGGATGGAGAATTTTGAGGTTTACCGAGATGTAGGAGACGATCCATTTGAAGTCTATCAACAAGAACCCGAATCGTATCAAGGTCCCTGATAGCCACATAATCAAAACATCAAGTGTGAAAACGATAACGTCAATTAAAGTAGTAGATTTCAGGCAAAAATGAAAACAAAAGAAACCCATTTTCACAAACACCTAATCGTTGATCTAACCCAGAAACCTAAAGTAGCAGCTATGAAATAAAGACAGAGATGAAGCGTACCATGAATAGATTGAGAGATAGAGATGAACCTGTAGAACCCTGTAATCAAGACCATGAAATCTCTAGGGTTTTGAAATGAAAATGGAGAAATCAAAACTTCAAATTTCAGGTTATAAGCATAGACGATGTCGTCTTGGAGTGTAGAAATTGACACATCAAATCGGCAATTTGTACAAAGGTAGCAGCAATGGAAGAAAGCGAGGTCTGATCCTTACTAAATTGGTTTTGGCGAAGGGAGACATGGAAAAGGAAGAAGAAGACTATGAATAGAAGAAAGAAAGGTAAGAGCTTACCAAAATGGTTTTGTCGCACATGGGATTGCTGGAGAAGGTAACCATTGGAATCAAAGTAATGCATCAATAACAAGTACATTGTGCTTTATAATTTGTAATTAAGAGTTTTTTGAAATCTAAGCATAAAATGGTAGTACTTTGTGTTTTGTGATTTGTAATTAAGATAATGACTTAAATGCTTATATATGTAGTATAGATTATATATATATATATATATATATATATATATATATGAGGCGGTGTGAATTTAAAAAAAAAATTAATTATATATATATATGAAGGCGGTTTCACCACCGTCAACTCCATTCTCTCTCTCACTTCTTTCTCTCTCTCTACAATTCTCTCTCGTCTTCTCTCTAGATTTTACGTCAAGTTAGTAAGGGGATCGAGGCAACAATTATATATTCGGAATCCACTCTCCGAACTCTTCTTAAAGGTATAAGTTTCATTTAGTTTCATTAAGGTGTTTATTTTAGGATTGTTTAGATCGGTTTATAAATTGTGTTTATATCTAAGTTTACGGATTGATATTGTCATATTTATGATATATTTGATGTTTGGAATACTAGAAATGGTTATATTGATTTAGAAATGAAAAGTGTATATTATAGTTTCAATATGGTTAGATTGTGGGTAAATGTTTAACCGTACACCAATTGTTCGGTTAAATGTCGAAAGGCGTAAAAATGCATGATTAAGCTTGGGTTAACGACCGTTATACTTGTTTTATTGTTTAGTATATTGAACTAAATGTAGCGAATCACGGAAGTTGGATCATAAAAGTTAGTCGGGAATTACGGAATCGAATTTTACCGACAATGTAACTCCCGTACTTTGACAGTCTATAACTCACAAACCGTAAGTCGGATTAAGCTCATATTTTGCAGTCAGGAAAATCATACTGCATACTATAACTTTCATTTAGACAGTATAGTCTGGATTGGTTTCTAAGGTAGGTAAAAATGCTTAGAAATAAGAGGGTCGGAAACGCTTAGATCGAAAGAGAATAAGGTTAAGTTTTACGTTTGAGTTTTCAATTCGTATCCAGCTGTCCTTCTTGAAGTCTACGTTGTTTAAGTACGTTAAGACCTAAGTAACTTTAATAGAATAATTATGTTTCGGTTTTTATGGTTTGTAAATAGTAACCGGTTATGCATTCGTTAGGCACGCGGATAAATTAAACTTGATCGTGAATTTCCGTTTGATCGTGCGTTAATTGTCAAATTCGGTTAAGGTACGGATTTCATATTTCACTTGACACGGGGATAGCCATTTGCGTAAGGCTTCCTAATCCAGATAATCTGTGATAAATTCCGAATAATTTGTTTTGAATTTCATTTATGCTTGTCGTATGTTATTGAATTTGTTTCCTTTACGACTTATATTCTTATTTGGAATATGGATCATTTTGATCATTTGACTTGTTTTGTTGCTTCATTTGTGGAATATTTTACTATAGACTCAATAACTGGAGCACCGGTATTGAGATGTTTCCATGGTGACTAAAACGATCATGGCGTCCTTATTTTTATAGTCCTTAAAAGTGGACTTGATTATGTACCGGTCGAATAGAGGGCGTATGGATCGATTCTAGGAACCGTTATCGGATATTGAATTATGGCCGTGGTTAAATTCACGGAGAGGATTGCTGTGTTGTGCTCACACCCCTTTCCTCACTTGTGCCTGAATGGACTGATCATCCTTTGGGAACAACGCATCCTCGTGATGTGGTTTGGTCTTCGTACCCTTGATATGCTTTTGGGCATTTTGACTTTCTTTTGGATTATCATTTGGCGTTATCAATTGTTTTTGAACTTGTTATCTCA